TTGTCATTTGTTGTATGTGCTTGTTGTGTGTTGCCTGTTGCTTATTGCTTGTTTGCTCATTGTTTTAGTGGTTACTTTGATTGTTTTGTCTTTGAGTAGTTATCTTGCTATATCTTGACATGCATCATACCTTGCTCACATGTTCATGCATCATATCATCTCACATGCTCATCCATCATTGATATTATATGCTTATTCATCATGCATCATGTTTACATGCCTATTTGCTTGTGTGTGGATATACTCACCTTTTGCACTTGGCTATGGAGTACTTAGTAAGTCTCTTCCCTCTTGTGCGATTATTTATATCTTGTTGCATGCTAAGTGTTGATTGCTTTGTGTTACTAACCTTTTGCATTTGGCATGGGAGTACGAGGTGAGTCCCTTCTTGCTACGTAAGTAGGTTTGTTTGTGGATGATATATTTGTTGAGTGCTTTACATGCTTTATTTGATTGCTGTGGGATATATGTTGTTATTTTTGTGGTTGCCATTGTGCAGGTTATTGAAATGTTGTGCCTCTTTGCACACACTCACCCTCATTTTGCATTAGGTCCGTGTCAGAGGTGAACCCGACCTCTAGTTTGGAATCCTTATGAATATGGCTTGGAAGAGCAATTCTTCCCGCTTTGAGGAGTAAGATTGGTTCCCATTAGGTTGTTTCCATTGGTTAATACGACACTTGATGATGTAATATCATTCTGTGTATTAGCTTTTGGAAATGTCTCCCGTTGATTCCGAAAGGATAAATGGTTGAGAAGGCCTAATGCCCTTTAGGAAAACATGTAGTGGCCTTAGAGAGATACCAACCCTAAGACATGTTTCCCTTAGCATCCCACCTATGAGGTTAGGAATCCTGTGTCTAAGACACAAAAGGGGGCATTTTACTTCACTAACTTTGTCTTTGCATATGACAGGTTTTCATTTACATTCAAGGTATGATTAGTTATTCACCTTTTGCATTTAAACATCATTCTTGAGGTTAGGTACATTCCATGCACTTTGTATCTTCACTTTCAACCCCATGCATAAAAAGAAGAAGAAGAAGAAGAAGAAGAAGTTTATGATTGTTTCACATGTCATGTATCCATCCTACTCATTTCACATTAAATCTTCCATATGTCTTGAAAATTTCATATGTCATATGTCCATTGTATCGCATTTTCCATCTCATGCATTGTAAAATATATTTTTATGTTCATCTCATGTGACATTCTCTATTTTGTTCATTTTAAATTTCATTTTTCATCTCATGTTTCACAAAAAAAAATTGCAAAAAAAAAAAAAAATAAAATTCCATCCATATTCATTACATTACATCTTCCATCTCATATAAAAATTGCATAAAAATATATTAAAAAAATCTCATTCACATGCATTTCAT